AGTGGTAGAGTTAGGGTCAGGAGGAATACAATTTAGTTTACAGAAAAAAAATGGCATTTGTTTTCCTATATAGATGGCGTATCTAAGATGACAGATGCATGTAGGGTCTAGGGACTCTAGTGCCATCTTTGCCTTGAGCTTTTCCCCTTCTTCTAGTTTCTCATTATCTGTATCCTCTGTTGCCCTTGGGAGTGACTTTACTTTCTCTGGGAGTGTCCCAGTTAGGCCCTGGCACAGTGGGCTTCAGAACTTGCATCACTCAGATGGGTGCCTTTGATGATAACTTTGGCAGAAAGCCACAGGGAGGACTTTGGCCAGTGTGGGGCCATTCACATGATTAATTTCTCAATCTGGGATCAATCACATGATCCTCAACAGATGGATCCACATGGCCTGGAGCCTGTGCCTATCTCTGAGCATGAGGGTAGGACTGGGGTTAGTTCATGGAACCCTGTGGACTGAGCAGGATTGTTGATGGAAGGACGGAGGAACACTTACCTGAAATAATGGATTAAAGAAGTATGTCTAACACAGAGTAGCAAGATCTGATTCTAGTATTAGGAGAGCAACTCAACAGAACATGGAGCATGTATGTGATCATGGACGAGTGCGGAGGAAGATAGCAGTAGATAAGGCAGAGCATACGTCATTGAGGGCTGGACCAAAGAACTGATGTGAGATCAGGACCTTCGGAGTGGCTCAGAATCGTTACAGAGGCCAGCAACACTGTGAAACCAGCCTTGGGGGAGTGGAAGGAACAAAAAAGTTTCAAAAAAATGATGACTGAAGGTGCCACTAGTAAAAGCAAAGGTGATATTTTAGAAGACTGCTAATCTAAAGAGAGCTGCCTTGACTTGGTTGTTCTGATGAAAGAGTGGTTTTGAAAAGTGATTGTTTTTATCACTGCACTTGGTAGCCCTCTAACAAGATATTTTCTTGCTCATTTCCTCAGTTGTTCCAGAAATAGATGAAACTAATCAGGAACATCTGAGAATGTCATGAAAGAGTAATAACTAGCGGCTGAAAGTCACAGGGTCAGCTGCCTCTGCCAGGAGGACATTTCAGATAGACTGAAATCCAAAAGGAGAACCAACCAGTTGAGAGCTAACCAGAGTGTAACATGTAACCTAAACCTGAGAATGAGACTTTCCAGCTTCCCAGCCTGTTAAGGCAAATCTTGCAGTCTTTTTTTTTTAAAAAAAAATTTATTTTTTTATTTTTATTTTATGAGTATATTGCCTAGATGTATGTAAGTACACCTGTGTTATGCAATGCCTGCGGAGATCAGAAGAGGGCATGGATTCCCTGGAACTGGAATTACAAATGGTTGTAGGTTGCCATATGGGTCCTGGGAATTGAACCCAGGTCCTCTGAGTCATCTCTCGAGCCCCAAACCTTGCAGTCTTGCAATTGTCAGGCCCATGCCCCAGGTCCACCTTTGTTTCTCTTCCTTCTCCTGAACATGCTGTTATATGATATTCACGAATTTTTGGTGGCACTACTAGTGTGGAGTAGCTGAGGGTATTTCATATTTAGCTCTAGGCTACAAACCCCTCAGGGCTCAGTATGAACCATGCACGCACTCACTCTCTTTCTTTCTTAGCCTTTGCTTGGTCTGCCATGTGCAGGCACTATGTAAGATTGTTTTTACCTTTCCTGAGGCTCTCAAAAGTGGGTTTGTGTGCTTTGATTATTAGTGGGGGCTGGAGAGATGGCTCAGAGATTAAGAACACTGGTTGTTCTTGCAGATGACCGGAATTCGAATC